AGAGTTTGTTTATTTGTGTTCATGATACAACCTAGTAAGACATCTTCTTGTGCTTGATCTCTCCAGAGCTGAACTCAGGATTAGATGAAGAACAGATTTACTTCCTGAAAGCTATTACACTTCTGCAATCACATATTACAAAAAAATTTGGCTTATATCTGAGGCAGTTATATTTGAAGAATTTATGGCAATGGTAGAATTCCGAGAACATACAGACTGAAAGGAAAATCTTCATAAAGTAAAAGAAGAAGGATCTAAGGCTGACTTTTGATTTGTGAGCCCTCCTTTGCTTTTGCCAGCTATCTGTGAAAACTCTGGGGAGCTCTAGACTGAGCTTTATCTAGTGATTTTGTAGTGAAATCTTCTCCTGTTCTCTGATTTTTTTCTTCCCTTGTTCATTTAAGAAGCTTGATGTGACTTCAGTGACAAATATGGTTTCCTCCATGCGTAGCACAGAGATGAAGCAAATGCAATGTCTGAAGTATTTTGTTAGTGAAGCATTACACCTAAAAATATGTCGTAAACCATACTTGATTGCTGTTATCCAACCATAACCACAGTAGAAGAAAAGAAAGTAATTGTGCACATACAGATGAGTTCTCAAAAGTCTCTGATAAGCCGGTACCAGAATTCTTGAAGCAGTCCAGTATCTCTTCTAAAATGAAGTTTAAATTTGCTTCTGTTTCAGTCAGATATATCCCTTCAAAAGGATGTTCAGTGGTTTCATAAGGGGCGTTTTTACTACTTCCTGGGCAGAGGGCTGATTTTCAACTGTGTTCTAATTTCCTAACAGGAAAAGAAGAAAATAATCTAAATATTGCCTGTGTCAGAGCTACCTCAGAATTTCTCTGGGATTGTAATCTAATTAATCATATGAAGTTCCTGAGTAAAATCCAGGCATTTTTATACATTTCTCATATCACAAGCATTTTTATATACTTTCAGTTCATAAATGCAAGCTTCATTCAATCTGAAACTGTAATATTCAATAAAATTTTCCCCTGCTATGAGAGAAAAATGTCCTAAATTATTTTTGGTCCATATTTTACTCTCTTTGCTTCCAATTAAATGATCTGTGAATACTGGCAATTACACTGCCTTCCTTTGCCAAATCACTGAAGTATCAGTAAAGGGTCATCATTTAAACTGCTACAAATTAATCACAAAAGCCAACCTTTAACACATCCATACAGTGATTTTAATGTGGAATGGGCCCCTTATGCCTCTTAATTTTTCTTTTTTGTGAATTGCAGCTGTATTACATCACAGGACATTAAACATGTTTCAGCTCAAGGGACTGAGTCACTCATGTTTTTAGAAATTGAAAACAAATGTTATAATGGCATAAATGATAATATTTGAAGCAATAACAGTTTCCTAGTAGGCATGCCTATTTACTAGGTAGCTTAGGTTTTCAGCTTCTAAACGTAACAGTAGCTCTCATGAGCTGAAATGATAGAATATTTTTTTTTAATTCTAAGTTTGACAGTAACGCCAAAAGAGGCAAACCAAAATGGCAAAAAAGTCAATAACAAGTGTAGAATTAACTTGTGAAATTATTCTCATTGACTGAGTTATCTTCATTAGCAGAAAGTAGATAGGAAATTTTTTCTGATGTTCCAGTGGCATGTTAGTGAGGAGTTGAACTGCATGGCCTCCCAGCCGTGTATCGGTACCATGTTAAGAAGTCTGTATGGTAGCAGAAGAGAAGGAGAAACAGGATATAAAGATAGGATAGTTTCTTGCTCTTGTACAGGAAGCTACTGGAGTTAGAACGTATGTGGGGGCAAAGAGGAAGGGATTTGAAGTATTCATAGCATTGATTCTATTACCTGGAAAGCAAATAGGGTAGTCTGGTAGACACATGGCTCACTGATAGTTGATAGAGTTGGAATGTTCTGTACACCTTAAAGTACTAAAATATCTTGCTGGATAAAATGATCTGGAGAGGAGTGTGTCAGGAGCCCACTGGAAACAAATACCTCAATAAATCTAGTGTGTCAGTGCCTCTATCGTTATCAAAACATTGGTGCATAGTAAAGTGTTTCAGTCTGGTGTCATGATCTTCTTAACCTCTGCATAAACCTGTAAATTAGCAAACATCTTCTGTGGTACAGTATGCTAATGACTATTCCTCTTTGAGTTTGCTTATGAGAACAGTAAATATATCAATGATAATACAAGACATGAAGAGAAGAATGTAAACTGTTCATTCCAGCTGAAAATGCCAAGTTTTTAACTGGGTTGGAATTTTGTCGTTGCGGTCTATAGATACCAGTGAACCTTTTAATGTTTGATCTGAAAAATGGCATATCCAGTTATAAACAGAGTGCTGGAACATTAATTCATTAATATATGATAGGAAAGAGAACCATATTTAAATATAGACAACATCTGCACTGTCAAAACTTCTTATTTCTCACTTGGGAAGCATTTGTTAGGCTGATTAAAAACTGAATGTGAAGAGGTATTGTTTAAGCAATAGTTTAAAACTTTATGTAAATCAATCTGACATACAAATGTATGCTACTTGTGATGATTTCTTTGCAATAAAAACCAAAAGAAGAGCAATAGTGAGACAAATTTTTGATTTTTTTTCTCCATGATTATTACCAACATTAAAGTCACTAAGGTTCCCTGGAATGCAGAGCTTTTATCATACAACGTAAATGAGCTCCCCTTTAGCTAGGATAGCCATCATTTCATTTGTGTGTGTATTTTCTTTCTCTGCGACTCCATTGATCAATATCATTGATTGGTAAATTTTCTTAAACTCAGAATATCAATTAAGCCTTCTCAGAGTGGCATCTCAGAAAGCTGAGATTGACACATTTGGTCTGTTAGCAGAAGTCCTCAGCTATTTGAAGAGGATCTGCTTTTGGGAAGAGTAACTGGTGGCAAGAATACATGATTAACAATACATAAAAATGGAATATTAGAAACCAAACTTACCTTGTGAGACTAAAACCTCTTTGTGCTGTGTACTTCTTTCTGATTTGGTTGTAAGTATATGCTGTTTGTTGGTAACTGGCAAAGATTCTTAAAGCATCATGCAAGAAATAAAGGTTTACCCTTACTTATCAGTTTCAGGATGGACTTACAATGTTTAATATCTCATGAAAATACAGGAACTGTGAGAAGATCTTGGTTTTTACATAAATGTCCTCTAGCAGCTGGGTTGTAATTATTTTTCTTTCTGTCTCTTTTCAAAAAATGGCAGTTTGTGGTGTTTTTAAAGATCCTTAACTTAGATAATGTCAATGTCTTATGGTTTATAAACTTGCTTACTGTACTACATACTGCATTTCATGACACTAACTGAAAACAGTTAAGCATTTAGAAGGCCGGATATAAAAATGGTGTACAAAACTCATTGTATTTTACATTTGTGCTTTATATAGCTACATGTAGACAAGTTTGAAACAAAACTTCATGAAGTTCAGTCATATACATGGCTGCAAAAAGACAGTCATCCATCTGAAGATTTGATTCACAACAGTTGATGTCCAAACATCTCCATAAAAGAATTCATGTAGAGATTTTAGGAACTATGGCTCTATTTAGCACACAAGTTGCATATTCAGACCTTCAGTATGTTTTCAGGTCTTGTGTATTTTGTAGTCTTTCTCATATTCTTTCTACATCATTGCTGTTCAGTTATGACAAATGTGTGATAAAGGATCATGTATGACTAATAGTAATCACATCAAGGTGAGAACTGTAAGTCTCTTTTTCCTCTCCTGCTTGCGGAATGTGCTCAGGAGTTATTAAAAGTAGCCCATGCATGTAACAGACAGCACCTTTAAGACAGGGAAGTAATGACTGAAAATTCTGGGAAGTCTAGCACATTTTGACAGCAGGTACTGTAGAATAAAGTTTGTCTATTGCTGAGACAGGTTTAATTCTCTTAGATACAACTGAATATTGCATGATCAAGGTTTATTCCTGTGCCAAGATCCCAGGTCTTCTACCCCCAAGTCCCACCAAAGAGAGGGAAGCATCTTTGCAGCTCAGATCTGTTCCTGAAGAATCCCTTATTGTGCAGAGAGCTAAGAACTAGTAGTTTCTTTGGCCTCAACAGGATTGATGTGACTTCACTTCAGCTCCTGCCTAAAACCAGAAACTGACTTAACTCAGAACCTGTGAGGAAGCACTAACTTTGTCTCTGCTTGAAAAATATTACTCACCCAGTCTGGACATCAATTCAATGCTGTGATTTCAAGCTTTGTCTTTAAGCACATTTTAGTCCTTTTATAATCTGTCCTTTGAAATAATGTGACATCTGAGCATCCTGGTCCAGGTTCTGGTCATGCCAGATCTTTCTTACATTTTCCTGGAGATGGAAGACAGACATTGAAGTGGCCAGCTGGGGATTTTCCCAGCCTACAGCTAGCACAGCTAACTGGGCATGGCTCTGCATTGCAAAGAATAACAGTATGCCCTGGCTAAACGGAAAAGCAGAGGACAGAACAAATTGTGATAATAGTAGCCCCATTAACAGAGTTGGAAGAGAGATAGAAAGTTTACCTCCCACACAGATAAAAATATGTAAGACTCATTTTTCTGTAACATTATTGTTTGACAGTAAATTCGCCTCTGTAAACAGAATAGCAACAACAGCATGTTTAATGAGTTAGAAATCATGCTACAGTTGAAGTATGTATTCTTACATGATTCATCATCTCCAGAAATTTCCATTTTTAAGAACATATATTTCTAGAACGTTACATGTGTTTAATTTCTATTCCAGTCAAGCCTGAAACTGCAAGATGCAAAAATCTCGTATAAAAGCATTCCATGTTCTCAGTTGCTTGTAATGGGTGTTAAAAGAGTTTGCTTGTTTCAGGGCACCAACCTCTTTCATAAAAGCTGATGTTCATTTTCAGAAAAATGTGCTGTTCGAATTAGTGTTACAAAACTTAAAACTTGAATGCCATAAAAGTAAGGACAATGCATGAAATAGTCCTTCATGTTTTCCCTCCTGTGTTCATTTCTTTTAGTGCTGGAGTCGGCAGGACTGGCTGTTTCATTGTGATAGATGCCATGTTAGAGAGAATAAAGCATGAAAAGACTGTAGATATTTATGGCCACGTAACTCTAATGAGAGCACAAAGGAATTACATGGTTCAGACTGAGGACCAGTACATCTTTATCCACGATGCACTGCTGGAAGCAGTGACATGTGGAAATACAGAAGTGCCAGCCAGAAACCTGTATGCATATATCCAGAAGCTGACACAGATAGAAACAGGCGAGAATGTCACAGGAATGGAACTGGAATTTAAGGTACTGGGATTTTATGTTGTGGGGAACCAAAAAGATATGGTGTAAGACTTAATGCTGCTCTGTCCTCCACCAGTTGTTTCCAGTAATCAAAAAAGAAGACATCTGCGGACTAAAATTTTAGATTAGGAAGATGATCCTTTGTAAAATGTACAATTCTGTCCTCAATTGGTGTCCATACAAGAAACATTCAGTGAGGGTGGTTTAACGCTGCAATTCCTTCATTGTTTCAACAGCTTTGAATATTCAACAGTAATACTCAAATTTGTCCATATGCATTAATGGAGCAGACATTAAACTTTTATAAAGTGTTAAAAGAAGCTTTAAAAATGTTTAGGTAAAGCAATAGAATATGGAAAAGTAAGCATCTGAAATTGAAATCATTTTTTAATGGATAATGAACAGATATCATCAAATCTGATAGTTTCTTTTGATTTTGTTATACCTTGCCTTAATTATTTTAATTTATTTTCAACAGCGTCTTGCTAGCTCTAAGGCTCACACTTCAAGATTCATCAGTGCCAATCTTCCATGTAATAAATTCAAAAATCGCCTTGTCAATATTATGCCATATGAGTCTACAAGGGTATGCTTGCAGCCAATCCGAGGAGTAGAAGGCTCCGATTATATTAATGCCAGTTTCATTGATGGATACAGGTACTAATGTTGATGTGTACTCATGTGTACTGTTGCTGAAGTTTACAAAATTATTTGTGTAATTATACTGAAAATAACAAAATTTAGTATTGAAATGTAGTGTAATTCATTATCTCTGCATGCTGTTTTTGATTTGGTGTTTTTTTATATATTAATAAAAGATTTAGATTTTCACCCATACAATGCAGGAAAATTCTGTAAATGACATAGAGTCTTAAACGTTGTATTTTTACCTGTCTTTAAAGCATTAAGAACTCCCATTATGTTTTACATGCTGAAAATATATCTAGGTCTAGTAGTAGGTCTACCTGAGTACCCATATCCACAGAGATAATTTTCCAAGCCTCTGCTCATAACTGGAAGCAACCCTCACCTCCACCATCAGCCACAAAGGTGATTCTGTTGATTGAAACAAGCAAGAACAACGTGAACTGGTCATCATCTTAGAAAGCTGCTGATCCAGAAGGCAGTTTGATGGTAGCTTCCACTAGAAGGTTACTAAGGCCTGGAAATGCAGTGCACTGCTTTCTTGAATTTTCTTCCTGTGTTACTTTTGCTGGAGGCATCAGGCTGTTGACAAGGAGTTAATAAAGAAACTGTTTGATGCTATAATTCCTAAACTTAATAGTTTGTTAGACAGTTATTTCTACAAAATGAACCAGTACAACTAAGTGTTTCTTAAGTGCTTTTTACAGCATGCAAAATTGAGCTATTAGAGTTGCGTTAAAATTGAAATAATAATGATAAAGACATACATCATAATATTAACAGTCATTTCCCTCTCAAAGTTCTAAAATGAGAAAACCATAGTTTGATTAAACACTTGTAGTAAGGTTTTAATGTGCTTACTATTAATGGTATATAATTTTTTCCTGTAGGTAATGTTTACATATAAACAGAGAACATGTATCATTCACTTTTTTGATTTTTTTTTTTTTTTTTTTTCCCAACATAGACAACAAAAAGCTTACATAGCTACACAGGGTCCTTTAGCAGAAACAACTGAAGACTTCTGGAGAATGCTCTGGGAGCATAATTCTACAATTGTGGTCATGCTCACTAAGCTACGAGAAATGGGCAGAGTAAGTACTTCTGTAATATTGCTTTACTAAGATGTTGGTTATAATGATTTTTTTATTAAAATATTTCATTGTTAGAGGAATGTCTAAGGATAAAGGTGAGGATTAAGATTTCTTCTCCTTTTGAAATATCAGTGGCATTATTGATCAACAAGTGTAAGATTTTCCAATCTGTTGATGTGTTGCAGTAGACAAGCTAGACACAGTATTTTATTGTGGGACACACTGAGATTCAGCAACTGAGTTTGCATGTTGATATCCTGAAGTATACAGAGAAAGCATTGCTGTCTGTTGGAAAACGAAGATTTCTTATTTGGAAACTCACTTTTGCATTGTTTGGTTTTAACAATGTTAAAAGAGAGTGTGGTATTTTTGAGATCTGAATGTCTTCTATATGTTCAAGTTTCAGCACCCAGTTTACAGTCCTAAATTCATTCAGGTGCTGCTTTTTGTAATGAAAAGAGTGCAGCAGTTTACTACATAGACAGGATTACATCAAGATAAAGCCGGTATGGGATAAGTGAAATCTGAGACAGGCCATGTAACTGGGGAATAGAAATGATTCAGGAGGTGGCTAGCATATGCAGAGATAGAGTCTTGACTGAGGCCAGCAGGACTTGCTTCAACAGGGAAGATGAAAGAAAACTGAAGGTGGCCTCAAGTTTTAAATTCCATTCTGTATTGATAATTAGGCTAGGGATAGCTCTTGTCACTGACGAATAATAGAACTGAGCAGATGTATAAACGAGTTCAGATGTACCATAACCAGAGAGAACCCCTTTGCAATGCAATATTGAAGATCTTTTTTTTTTTTCTGGGTGGAACTTCATGCTCACAGCAAGACAAACTGTTCACGTTAATGGCACTTTTCATGAGTGTTACACTTTTCTGAGTGGAAAAGGTTTTATACTAGTTTATGGTAGTGTTCTCAAGTAACAGGAAATGTATTTTGCTTTGTTACTTTGTAGGAGAAATGCCACCAGTACTGGCCTGCAGAGCGCTCAGCCAGATACCAGTATTTTGTGGTAGATCCAATGGCAGAGTACAACATGCCACAGTATATTCTGAGGGAATTCAAGGTTACAGATGCAAGGGTAAGTTAACATAGCATTACACTAGTTCACATAAGTTTAAAAGAAAATGTCAATTTCTTTCTTTTCCTCTCTTTTTTGTTTTTTGGGTTTTTTTTTAATTTTTGTTAGAAAAACACTAGGGGTGTACTTTCTACAAGCAGTAAACAAAAAGCAGATAAAGTTATTGCTAGATGAATGGAATCTTTGTATAAGAGCAATTGGCTTCATTCAGATCTAACATCTGGGCAGCACACCTTTGTAAAGTTCTGAATAACTATTTGTGCTAAACTACATGAGATGATTTGAGGACCGTTTTCCCTTTTTTCCTCATTTTCCCCTTGATCATTTTTGGGGGCAATTTTTGTCACTTACAGCTGTAAATATGTAGTTTTGCACCACACTCTAGGCTGAGTAAGTATGAAGGTTAATACATTGAGATTTAAAAACTGCAAAGCAAATAGCATTCGTAAGGAAAGCTTGACAAGTTTTGCACATTATAATTTGATATTTGGCATAGCACATTTTCAGCACTCGTATATCTGCAGAGTAGATAACTTGCAGCTGTGACCCTAGCATCCTCATTTTCATACTGCATTTGTTATCTGAATTTGTGAGTCCAAAACTGAGCACTCACATAAGATTAAATGACATCAACTTTAAATATATGTTTAGCATTTCTCAGCCTTCTGATTTCTTGCACTTTTGTCTGCATGGCAGAAAAAAATTACCAACAGCATCCATCTCTGTGAGCACTGTAGAATACTATTTGTTCAAGCAAAATAGCAGGATGTGCTGTCCAGGAATAACATGAGTGATTACTCAGAGTTGCCAGTCAGCATCCAAAATATTAGACTTTCTCATAGTTAGCTAGACTGCTGCCTTTAATGTTAGCTTCAAGTAAAATTATGTACTACTGACAATTACCAAGTCAGCATATGAACATTTTAATTTGGCAAATGAGACTTAGGTGTGTGTTTTTGGGAAGAAACTGTAGACACACTGGATCTGATTTTCATTATATTTGAAATCTAGTAAGGATCCCATGACAGATAGCTTCTCTAACCTATTTGTGCTTAATAAAAGTGAAGAACACGCTCCTAACATCAGTCTTTAATCACACTTGTAAGCATAGACAGTCAAAGCCAATTTCACTACAACTACAACTGATAGCTTTCATAGGTCATCCATTAAAAATCTGTTCCATCTCAAACTGGAAGAAGTCTTATGTGACATAGTTCACCAAGCTCAGATCAAAAAATAACAATTATAACAAAAAGCCAGAGGGCTAGTTTAAGTGTCTGCAAACAGTATGTATTTCCAAAAAGTTCTTTCAAGAGTTTATAATGAACTAGGATATTTATGAAAGTCTGTTTACTTATACCTAGCAAACCAGTAAAAAGTCTGAAAGGGTTGAATAACTTAATTTGCCAGAAATAGTTTTATTGGATCTGATATTAATACACCTCTTTTAAAAAATATCAAACATACGTGCACCTTGGCAGTCCTGTTGTGACGTTTTACAATCACATGTCATTGCATCTCAAATTTTAAAAATCTTTTCATCTTAATGGTCCAGATTTGTTAATTAAACACCGCCAAGCTCACAGAACCATCTTAAGTTTTCTAGATGTGCTGTAAAACTGTATCTCCTTCCAAATTCACTGGAAGCAGTGGGGACTACTTAACCAAAATATACCTTATAGTTTTCCTGTAGCTAGGCCTTTATGGCTGTCACACCCAGTAACAGACCATCTAACTAAACTGTCATATTCAAAGAGTAAATGCTGCAGCAATTGTAACCAGCCTCTCTCCCTCTTAACTGCAAACCCGTCTGTAACTTTAGAATAGTCCATGCTCTGTCAGAACCAAGCCGCCCAATTATTCCCCAGGGACAAGAACAGAAGCACACTGCCTTTTTAGGTGTCAGCAGTAAGTGTCTGGTGTAGAACTCCCTGTTATTTCTGAAACTGAGCTGTGAAATGTTGTAAGATGAAATTGACCTCGCTAACTGTTTCAATCTACTACTTCTGACTGCTTTGTACTCACTTTCTCTGTAAACTCCAGAGGTCGATATGTTGGGGCAGTCTCACTTAAGGCTAAACTGTAAGAGAGTATTATAAATTCTACAGCCTCATCAAAAAACAATTGAATATCCTCTGTGAGGAGCAAGAAGAAATCCAAAGGGTCAGCCAGTCAGTAGGATGACACATTAAAAGTTCTCTGCTCCACATAGGGATCTGAAAGTTCGTATTTTGATAACTAACTGTACAAACTGTCACAATATTTGAAAGTAAAGATTTTAATAAAATTTGGCATTTGTATTTGGATTGCTGTTGGCAAGCATCTCATTAAAAGGAAGCAGCACTATTTATAATGTCAATAGCAGAGGGAACTGTGTAAGAAATCGCAGATTAGTTCCCAATATGCTTTAATGCTAATCTAACATCACAGTAACTAACTTTACTTCTGTACTCATTAAATAGCATTAAATAACAGAAGTTATTGCTATTAAAACTAAATCAGAACAATTTTCACAGACTTGCACTGGATTATTGAGTTATTATAATCATGAAATACACCAATACAGTTGATTTAGATGCACCTGAAAACCAAATATTTTTGTTTTTTCAAATCTATTTTGCACATAGAAATTTGTGGTCTTTTCAATGACAGCCTAGACTTCAATAAAGGAGCATCTTTCTTATCTTTTCTATCCCTAAAAAGTTACTGTTATTCTAGCATGATTCCTATCAGGGGCAGGAGTTGCTGAAGAGCTTCCATCTCCTTAACCAATATGTTGCAAGTGAGTCAGACTTAAGGTTTTCTTTCTTTACTTTATAGGAAGGGGAAGTTATTTTGGAGGGAATCAACTTATTGTTTTGTCTTCTTGGTTACTTAATGTCATGTGCCTAAGGCTATCTGAAGGATGCAATTTTGTTATGTCTTCTTGGGGGAAAATGAGATCACAGAGACCATTAGGAGAGAAGAACAGATGTTTTTTTTTAAGTGGGCAAAAACGTTCCACAGAAATAGACTGCTAAATTATCACAGTGGTCTAGTGGGAATATGAGATAGTAAGTCAAAGAAGAGTATGTGTGTCCTCTTATGGAGCAGTAGCTGGCACACACACTCATCTTCTGTTTTCCTTACTCATCTGAGACATGGGAGGCAAAAACCTACAGTATTGAAGAAACATAAAAGCAAAGTATTGGTTTTTCCTTTGGTTATTTTTAAAATCACTTCTATTTCATTCAAAGATGTGTAATAGCTTAGTGTTTGTGGTAGGGGGAAAAAAAAAAAAAAGATTGTTCTTGCCTCAAGCATGACTTGTTGCTTTTGGGGGGGATCTCCTACAATCGTTTCAATTTTTTCAAAACCATTTTCGAGGCATGATAGGGTGGGTGCTTAAGAAACAACATGTCCAGAGGCACTAGTTCACATCAGTAACTCATGTACCCATGCTTTTATGCCCATGCTTTTAACCATTTCAGCTGTGCAAATTGTCAGTGTCACAATCATCAAGAGCAATGTTTGAAAATTCAGAACAAATTTACTTCATCCATTTGTATTGTATGTTTTCTGTTTATGTGTACTGACCGTTTACACATTGAATAGGCATACAGCAGAAGTTGTTGTTTAATACTTCCAGTGGCTTCATTGTAAAAATAGCCATGCTACAGTATTCCGCAGTTTTAAACAATCCTGTTAGTATTCCTAGCCAAAGGGAATTAACAGCTTCAGCTGACTTGAAAGAGGAAGCCCTTCTCAATTTTTCACTGAGTCCAAGGTATTAGTGAATGAAATTACAATGATTGAAGGGAAATTCATGGTTTGTTGAACAACTGGCTTGTCTTGACCCACCTTCTTCCAGGCAGATGTCCAGCTCATAGAAAGCATCATACTATTAAAGATATCATTTGCAAAGAGAGAAATGACTAAACTAATCTTATCAGTGAAGATGTTTGTGCCATACAGTAGATGAGCATATCTAGGAAATGGAGAGTCAGATTGTATTACCTTATTCTTACCTGTTCTGTATATAAAGGAATTTGCAGTTCACAGGGTTCAAAACATAACTTAGCAAAAAGTCATGTAACCTGGTAAGGTTGTTCTGTCTTTAGGCTCAGACATGCTTTTTACAGAGGGAGAATATCAGACCACTCTCCTATCCAGTGCAGAAGGCAATCTATGCAATGTTATTAATGAAACTGCACTTCTGGGACAGTATGTCCAAAGGCACCAGCCAGTACTGCAATTGAAAGAGTCTTCATAAATGTGATCTTAGCCATTCCCCACCTTTTCTCAATGTCCTTGTTCTGTGATTGACTTTCTGGTTGTTGCCTGACTAACTTCCAGCCACTGGAACATGCTTTTGTGATACATTATTTGTGTCTTTTGTTAAAGGATGGCCAGTCCCGAACAGTGAGGCAGTTCCAGTTCACTGACTGGCCAGAACAAGGAGTGCCAAAGTCTGGAGAAGGATTTATTGACTTCATAGGCCAAGTGCATAAAACAAAAGAGCAGTTTGGTCAGGATGGACCAATTTCTGTCCATTGCAGGTAAGTAAACAAAGCCTCAAAACAACTCATAAGCAGGTTTGTTTTTTTTTCTAAAGTTGATTGCTGATTGCAGCAGAGCTGTATGTGTAAATGGAATTTCATAGGTGAGCTATCAGAAAATGAAAATATTTTTCTGAAATATGCGGAAGAATTTGATTTTTTCTTCACTTAAAAGTGTCTCTAATACAAGGTAAAAACAATTTGGCCAATGCTACACACAGAAAGCAGTAGGAAGAGCCTTATTACAGGCTGCTATATCTGATTTTTTTTTTTTTTCACTGGTAATTAAAAGTGAGGCTGTTACATTGGTGGGAATTATTAGCTGTAAACAAGCTAGTTACACCTCAGTAGCACACTAGTAACAGTCAAGATGAGATAAATAAAAGTGGGAGCTATCACAAGAAAGGGAATAGAAAGCTGTGTTTAGAAGCTGCCTGTCAAAAATCATTGAGGTTTGGATTCATGATTTCTAACTTCAGAATGTAATGCTCATTTTTTGATGTGATGACTTCTCTCAATTCTTTTACAATTGATATGCAGATGAAAACAGCTTGCAGGGTGTGTCGAAATAATCCAGGGTGGGCTTTTTTTCATATTCTTGTGGATTTTATTTATCTTCTCTACAGTGTTCTAGAGTCTGCAGCAGATGGCCAAAAATAATATCTTTATCTTTTATCTTTTATTTAATACATTGTTTTCTATAAATTCCATTAGGATTTTAGATACTCATTTTTGCAACATTAAATTATTTTTTGGTAGATGAAATGTTATTATTTATATAACAGAGATGCAAAATACTGATACAGGTTCCAAGTACTTCCTGCAAGCCAAGTAATGCCCCAATCCTAGCACAAGGACAAAATGAACAAGTTTACTAGAGCAGAGAGGGAGAGAGATTCTTGTCCTTCCAAAGCCAGGAACAACCAGAAGTTGTTAAAACATCAGTATGTTTTAACAGAGTTCCTTATGCTCCCCTAATCTGGAAGACTAACAAAATAAATGCATTGGACTACTTGAATCCTACTTTTTTTAATGCACCTGAAAATTGTTATGGCCTACTGTCTTGGTTTGAAAGACAGGTGTCT